ATTTTGGAGTACCCCCCCATGAAACGTATCATTGATACTTTCATAACCCACCTGCAATTTGTCTTTTTTTCCCCTTCTGTCACTTCGCTTTCTAGAATGAACCTCTCGCTTCGGAAAAAGGCACTAACTGAAATGTTGTCAGATCTTTCAAGTGACAAAAGTAACAACAAGGGATATTCAAAATTTCACTTACTCAAATGTTGGTCACCTGTATGCCCACCAGTGTCATCTCATCAATAGGTAACGAGAGAATGTGACAAAGATAATTTTTTTTAATTTGGACACTTACTCTAACAAGCGAGTTCAGAAAACAAAAGGAAAAGAAAAATCCACTCCGGTAAGTTTGTCGTTTGTAATTACATACAACAGCCGGTTGGTGGAGATGTGTTCCCTTGGTAGTTATAGGCCCCCGAGTGTTTTCGTTTTGTACACAAACGATTGAAATATCATATACAAAGTAATAGAATTTCAGTGGGAGTCTCTTTAAGCCTCATACAGTCCAAATCATTTAATTAATACACTGAACTCTGATTTAAATAAGCCTTTGAAGCTACCTGTTTCAGTCGTTGAAAACAAAAAGAGCTTTTTCAGACTTTAATGTATGATATTCAAACCCAGGTAGATAAAACACAATCTTTCTATACAAGTCTGTCTAAACAGAGTGTCAAAGACGATGTTTTCCCTTGGTGGGCCCCATTGTTTTCGTTTTGTACACACACGATTGAAATAACATATACAAAGTAATAGAATTTCAGCGAGGGACTCAAATGTAATACGAGTCTCTTTAAGTCTCGCACAGTCCAAATCATTGAATTAATACACTGAACTCTGATTTTAAATAAGCCGTTGAAGCTACCTGTTTCAGTCGTTGAAAACAAAAAGAGCTTTTCCAAACTTGAATGTATGATATTCAAACCCAGGTAGATAGACCACCATCTTTCTGTACAAGTCTCTCTAAACAGAGTATCAAACACGTAGAAGTCTTGTACTTGACGAAAATCCCCTTCGAAATGCTTCAGCTTTATGTGACAGTCAAAGATTGAAACATGATCTGCCGGAATATTAATAATGTCAATTAATTTAAGGCAATCTGGTTGAATTCTTTTTCAGGAAAGATATTAACAGAATCTGCACAACCATGGCAGGAGTGATGACTACAAAAGCCTTTGTACTCTGTACCTTGATAAGTCAGCTGTTCCTGGTTTTGGTTTTAGCTGGGAAATCAAAGTATGCGAGTCACTGTGAAAGTAAAGTTTCTAGTTCATGAGTTCAACTCCAACCCGGCCGGCATTGCTTGAAAGCAGACCACTTAATCCTGAGTCAATGGTGCTAGCCCTAATTAGATCTTTACTCTTGTCTTCCAAACTACTCATATACAATCATGTAACTATTTCGAGCACTATTTCAACCCCACTTGTCATTTTGGTTGGCAATCTAATTCTCTTTCACGGCAATAATTATTGTAACTTGAAGACTTTCTTCACCTCGTTTGATCGTTTGGGAGAGAAAATCGCACTCGACCAGTTGATATTTCAGGCTTCAAACCGTTAACTAAACAAAGCTTATTTAATTTATCATTTTCTGTTATTTCAAACGTAGACACTCCAGCGACCCTCTTCAAGATTCGTGCAGTGTCCAAAACGGAAGAAAAGTCAGGGACTTGCAAAACGATTGCAGTGCAGATGGCAAGAATTTCGATTCTTGGGTTAGGCTTTATACCACCAGTAATGACTTATACACCAAGTTCACGCCTTGCAGTGGGAGTATTCTGAACGAGGAAAGGGTTAAAATGGTGATCAAGTTTTGTTACTGCTACAACTTTTGTGGAGCGGGCCAGACTCACAATGGGTGTGAAGTAGAAGGACTTGAAGGAAGACTGGACCGGGGTGCCAACTTGTTCTCCTCGTACAAAGCAATGTAAGTAATTGTTTCGTTGATTAACACTAACCATGGTTGGTCTGGTGCTCTGTTAGTTAGTTTATATCTTTATTAAAGGAAACCGTAATGAGAAGCGGGACAATGGCTTGGCCGAAAATGAAGTACGTGCACTCAAATTCAATCAACTCAGAAAATAGAATTGGTCAGAATATTGATTTGGTCAGAAAATAGAATTAGTTAAAATATAGTATTAATCACAATCTAGAATTAGCCTGAATATAGAATTTCTGAGCCATCGACTTCCATTAAGAGCTGTAGAATTTTATTTCTGAGCAATTCGACGTCCATTCTCACTTTCTCTTGAAAGAAGACACGCTCTTGCGCTGTCTACCGAGTTTGGTTTCTTCCTCTACACAAGTAAAAGGACACACATTTTTGCAAACATGTAAATATGTTATCAAAGCTTACAAAAGCTACATTTAAGTAACGTGTGACTGGTGCAATGGACGAGCAAAAAGAAAAAATTAAAGGATGTTAATAAAGAAAATTGTCTTTTTCTAATTTTAAATTTATTTTTTTTCAGATGCCGGATTGATTGTACACCCGAGGACAAGGTATTATTCTAAAAAACAATTATAACTATTATTATTAACGTAATTATTGCATTACTGTCAGGTATCTCTCGTAATCGAATAACTCAGCCTCTGGTCAGCGGTCGTAGGTAACATATAAAGGTGACCAACTTGTTCTAACACCTGCAGCAGGGTCATAGAAATTTGTTGGAAAAAGTAAAGAACAGACAGAGAAGAGATTTTGGTCTTACGTTTTTATTACATTTTACGACTGGCATGCAGTCTCATAATTAAACCTCTGGTTAACACCATACAAAACTACAAGGACTCACTACAGAATTAACTTTCGATTCATGTTGACTTTTTTTTTGCTTCAGCTGGAGCGCATTTCAACGCTTAAAAACGAGCTTGAGCAAGGCGAAGTAACTCAGGTGATTTCACTGACAGAGGGCACCACTTCTATTCAGACCAGCCAGACGGGAGGTACCTCTAGTACTACAATTTCTGCCAAGATTGGTTTAACTCTGAAAAAAGTCTTCTCCGCTGAACTTGGTGTTTNCCAGACGGGAGGTACTTCTAGTACTACAATTTCTGCCAAGATTGGTTTAACTCTGAAAAAAGTCTTCTCCGCTGAACTTGGTGTTTCCCATACGACCGAGTATAACTGGGCTCAGAGCTCCAGCAGCTCGTTCTCTCGGCAAGTGAAACACGAAGCTCGGATACCGGTGCAACCGGGTAAACAGGTCAGCGTCTGCCAGGTGATAGGAAAATGCAGTAACAGTGATGGAACGGTTTACACCGTCAACACCAAGACTTTGGTTGTCCGTGACCAGCCAACCTGCGGCCCCTAGATATAATCCATGAAGGAACGATAGCTATTGGTGAATTTTGACATTTCCTTGTCAAATGTGAAAGAGAAATAACAGCAATGCTTGCTGAAGTCAAGTGTGTCTTTTAATCATTCGTTTACCAATATTTATAACCAATTGAAAAGTTAAAGAGTTATGCAGACCAAAGAGAGTGTTATACCCCAAGCCGAACACTAATTACGATGGATACCGTTCTCCGAGGTCCGTCTACATTATTGTTGACTACTTATTAACCGAGAGTGAGGTAATTACGGGAAAATCTCAAACTGAAGTCTTGCTGTGAGGGGGGAGCAAGGGTATTTTCGTGACGTCGTGATCCGGTTTTTTGTGCTCTGTGAATCGTGATTTGATAAAAAAGCTGTTCCGTGAATCGTGATTGAAGTGTATTCCGTGAGGCGTGAAATGCAAAAGTCCTTGGCTGTTAATCGTGAATACATAAGAAATAAATCGTGAATGTCTAAAGTTGAGTTCGTAGCTGAATTTCAGTGCATTGTGAGATTTTTTCCGTGACCTCAGTGAATTTAACGCTTGAGTCAAGCCGACTGAGAGTAGCGACAAACGAAACATGTTGACAGGTTTAAATAAACCCGTTGATTTCCTGATCACCGTATTA